CCTCACTATCAAGCTGAATTTTAATATATCGAAAGTGGCGTATTTCAAACATTTTGCTGTTCGTGTATTTCCGAACGAGGGGATTGATTTGGAAACGTAAGTAGAGCTGGCCTGCTATATAACCATAATATTCCGTTTCCTCTTGCTGTCCTCGAGCAGAAACAGGAAGAGGTAGAAAAGTAAGTAGGAAGCGATGAAAAGAAGCCGCGAGAAGAGCGACAAAAAAATTGTCTCGCTCATTTCAATGTCAATTCACAATGAAGGAAGGAAGAAAACGTCTGGATCCAGGACAACATTGAGGCTTATCTTAGTTCTGTTGTTTCAACTATATAGCAGCAGAGAGTTTTCTCTTTTATGTCTTTTATGTCTTAAATCGTTTCTGTTCAGATCAGTTCAGCTATAGAAACAAACTTTTACTGCGAACTGACTGTGAAACTAACTGCAAATTGTATCATAAACGACTCCATTTTATGATGAGGTGAGCTCGAGCAGTATACCCATTTGGAATGTCTCGTTATCACTTTCAAATTCGAAACCTACTGGCTGCTCCACACCTGCAAGGCAACCCACCAAGCACGATTTCGCCGTTTCCCTTGCACTTGAATATTCAGTGCTCGCTTCGATCGAGTCAAACACTAGTACGGTGAAAAAGCTGTTCTGGATCGAAGTCTTTCCACAAAAAGTTAAAACAAGCAAAGCAACGCTAATAATTTTGTGATCGTCGTCAACTTTATTTAATTTTATATTCAGCTCACATGGAAAGTTACTTTCGTTTAGATCTCTCAAGGAAGACTTCCGTCATCATGAGAGTATCCAAGATGCAAAATCACGTGATTTCTGAGAAAAAGAGTCACATTTGAAGTGTTGTTCTGCGAAAAACATCGTTACGTGTTTGTGTAATTCTTGCAAATTATTTGGCCACTGAAATACGATTCTGCCGTCAGACATTGATCTTCTTTGAAGTATTTTTAAAAACTGTTCTTGCCGCTACCATCGGACTTCCATCTGTTTTGAAAATGGCAGTCTGTAGCTCGCACTTCGTAAATCCCGCAATTGCACAAAATGCTACTGTGTTACGCTGCTATTTGTGCTTCTCAGAAAGTTACCGAACCTGTTTCTGGGCTCTTCTACCAGGAGGTTGCTATTTTCTCACATTTTCAACAGCTTGAACTAACTTTGTTTGGTTTACCTTGCGGCCCTTCGGTGGTAAAAATCACAATTTAAATCTCTGATTCTCTAAACCGCTTATGTAGTGCTGTTCAGATGGATTGTATTGCACTTTCCTCATGCTGAAATATTCACACCGAGGGGACCCTAAATCGGTTATTTTAGCACACGCTACCATGGGGAAATCAACGAAGCAGCCATGGCAGCCAATATTGGTTAAACACTTACAGTAAAAACCGCGTATAAGAACCTAGAATTTTCGAGATCAGGCATGCAGACCAGGTCAGTTCTTATATTCTAGGGTCGTTTTTCACAATTCAGGCTGATTAGGTTCTTAATAGGTTCCTATTTCTCAGAGGAACACCAATACATTTCTATATTTTATTTCATAAGATATTTAAGTTTTGAATTGTTTGTATTGCACTGTAGCTTTATGGAAAACATATTTCTAGTGAAAATCTAAAAAAAAGAAATCAAAGGAAACCAGTACACTATAACTTTTTGTCAGACGTTTCTCACACATGCAATTAAAGTCCAGAATTTAGACCATCAAAATTGGAGTGAATTTTTTTGAATAAAAACCTATTTTTCTTTGGCAGGCTGAACAGGTTCTTATATGTTTGGGTATTTGAAAGCAAAATTTCAGCCCGTAGGTTCTTAAATCACTAGGTTCTTACCTGATGCTGGTTTTTACTGTACTTGCTTTCCCTGTTGCTATGCTTTGCCTTTGGAACTCTTTAACACAAAAGCACACATCAGTCATAGTGGCCAAGAAACTTTCCTCTCACAAACCATTTATTCGAGCTCCAATTTCGAGACTTTCGAGGCTTGCTCGAACAAAAACATTCTGCCATATGACATGATATGATCTGCGAAAATCACCAATACGTATCACCAATCCCTTATTGAAAGTTGCTTGACGTGGCAACCAGTCACATTAGATCAACAGCAGGCAATGTTACCGGACTTATAACCACGAAGCTTGTTGGGAACAGTTTAAATTACAATGAAGATAAAATATGACTTCATCCTCGGCAAGGTGAAGAAATTCTCCAAGAAAGACAAAATATACCTCGTTCTTTTCTTTTTTGGAAGTTTCTATTGTAAGTTTAAAATCATAATCTGCATATATTTATAAACCGTGAGTTGACAATACAACTGTAATTGAAAAATGATGGTTAACGTTGTCAGTTTGCAGAAAACTTGCTTGTAAACAAATATTTAACGGAATATACGTATGAGACTTCATTAGCCCTGACAAGTTGTGATCTGATAGTTAAATATTTGTGATGTTGCCTTTATTAAAGACGGGCTCTATAGCAAAATCTATTTTTGTTTCTTTAACAAAAAACTATGGTAAGGTTAACACTCCATTAATGAAAGCCAAACCTTACAGTTACCCTGAAACAAGGATATTACCAGAACGACTAGAAATTCTAGGAAATCGAAAAGTGGTTCTGAAATGTGGTAATATAATGGCTTTTTAACACTTTAAGGATGTATCAAATTCAGTTTTCTACCTTAACAATAAATGCTACATTGCAAAACAATGTCGGTTTAC